CTGCGGTCGTCGGGTGTATCAGAGATGGACAGGAAGCTGAGTACAGAGAGCTGGTGGAGCGCTTTGTGGCATGGTGTGGAAACAATCATCTGACCTTGAATGTGAACAAAACAAAGGAGATGATTTTAGACTTCAGAAGAAACAGGGTGGAGTCAAACACTGTTTCCATCATGGGAGAAGAAGTGGAGGTGGTTGAGGAATACAAATACCTTGGAGTTCACCTGGACAACAGACTGGACTGGAGAAAGAACAGCGAAGCTGTTTACAAGAAGGGACACAGCAGACTGCACTTCTTGAGGATGCTTAGGTCCTTCATTGTCTGTAGCAAGATGCTGCAGATCTTCTACAAGTCTGTTGTTGAGAGTGTAATCTCTTCAGCCATCGTCTGTTGGGGTAGCAGCATCAGAAGCAGGGACATGAAAAGGCTCAACAGCCTAATAAAAAAGGCTGGCTCTGTTCTGGGGACGACTGTGGAACCACTGGAGGAGATCATGCAAAGAAGGATTCTCCAGAGAATCAAGAAAATGATGGACAACCCTGAGCATTCTCTTCACAAGACTGTCCGACAACGGAAGAGTGTCTTCAGTCAGAGGCTTCTTCAGTTTCACTGCAACACTGACCGCTACTGGAGATCCTTCCTGCCGACAGCCATTGTAATATACAATAACTCTTTGATGACTTGATTATTATTATTATTATGGGCTACTACAGCAATCAATATCCCTCTGGGATTAATAAAGTATTTTGAATTTGAATTTGAATGAACGCTGCGGGAGCCGCGGTCACATGAGGTATGTCTGTTCCATTTAACCGTTTTCTTTGACCAAGGAAGGACAGTGTCCTCGTAAGTACAGTCATGGCCAAAAGTTTTGAGAATGACACAAATATTAATTTTCACAAAGTTTGCTGCTAAACTGCTTTCAGATCTTTGTTTCAGTTGTTTATGTGATGTACTGAAATATGATTACAAGCACTTTGTATGTTTCAAAGGCTTTTATCAACAATTACATGACATTTATGCAAAGAGGCAGTATTTGCAGTGTTGGCCCTTCTTTTTCAGGACCTCTGCAATTCGACTGGGCATGCTCTCGATTAACGTCTGGGTCAAATCCTGACTGATAGAACCCCATTCTTTCATAATCACTTCTTGGAGTTTGTCAGAACTTGTGGGATTTTGTTCGTCCACTCGCCTCTTGAGGACTGACCAGAAGTTCTTAATGGGATTAAGATCTGAGGAGTTTCCAGGCCATGGACCCAAAATTTCAACGTTTTGGTCCCCGAGCCACCGAGTTATCACTTTTGCCTTGTGACACGGTGCTCCATTGTGCTGGAAAATGCATTGTTCACCAAACTGTTTTTGGCTTGTTGAAAGAAGTTGCTGTCAGAGGGTGTTTTGGTACCATTCTTTATTCATTGCTGTGCTTTGGGGCAAAAGTGTGTGAACCCAATCTTTTGGATGAGAAGCAACCCCACACATGAATGGTCTCAGGATGCTTTACTGTTGGCATGACACATGACTGATGGTAGCGCTCACCTTTTCTTCTCCGGACAAGCTTTTTCCAGATGCCCCGAAAAATCAGAAAGGGGATTCATTCAAAATTGTAACCTGAGTTAACAAGACGATTGCTGAATTTATCTCAGCAGGTCCTTTAATGACAGCAATAAAATACAGTGGAAAGTGTTTTTAGGGGTTTAGTTAATTTCCATGGCAAATAAGGACTATGCAATTCATCTGATCACCCTTCATAACATTCTGGAGTATATGCAAACTGCTATTATAAAAGCTTAAGCAACAACTTTTCCAATTTCCCATATTTGTGTCACTCTCAAAACTTCTGACCACAACTGTAAGGCGCCTCTGCATCTGCTTCAGGCTGGAACACAACTTAGAAGAGACAAAAATGTCGGATTTTTAGCCGTACAAGATTTCCCGTCCCTGCACAGGAAAGAGAAAGACAGACCTCGCCTCTCTGCCTCCTGCTCCTCCGACCTTTTATCAAATCCCAACATAAATTCTGAAGTTTCATGTAACTGCTGGGAAGATGTCTCATCTTAAAGAGTCCTTTGTCAATGTGGAAAATCGATAGCAGGTCAGAAAGCCCTCACAGCTTCCTAGAATATGTCTATGGACAAATTACAACACATAACAGTCCAGTTAAGATTATTCATCTCTGGCATTTGCACTGTGATCATGGGGATCGGGCCAGCTGAACTCCTGCAGGATTTGTGATATCAACAATCTCTCAACGTTCTCACGCAGACAGCATGTCAGCAAGCATGACGACCAACTGCAGGATGTGATAAAACTCCTGAAAGCACTGAGCTGAAACAACACGAGTAAACCGAAGAAGAGCATGTAGCAGATATTTGACTTGGTTCTCACGTCTTCTTCCCTTGTTTTACTTCACCTTACACACACACACACACACACACACACACACACACACACACACACACACACACACACACACACACACACACACACACACACACACACACACACACACACACACACACACACACACAGATTAATGACAGGCCGCTGCCTGCACATTACTCTGACCGGCCTCTATCTAACAACAGATCAGGACCAGGATTCAGGTGTAACCTCCCATATCTCCTTTAGCCATCTCCACACAATGAGAGGTGTTCCTTCTGCAAAGTCCTCACAGCTGACTGGATGAAGTAGTGATGGGGTGATATAAACAGTCACATCCACCTTTAAATCCACAGCTAAGAGGAGAGAGAGAGATGAAGATGCTTTTAAAAGTCAGCGAGTGTTTTTCTCTGTTTATTGAGCCTATAATTTGTGCGTGTTTTTGTTTTGCCGGTGAGTCAAGCTGATAAACAGCAAATCTGATTAGTCTGACTGCTAATGGGAGAATGTCACTCTGCTCTCTGCACCATCATCCCACGCGCTCATTTGAACTTTGCACGACATTTACGACTTTGACAATAATCGTCTTGCCTAGACTCAGAGATCTGTTGTTCCCCATACTGTCTAATATAACTGCAGCACAATAAACCTCAGCTGCAGCGTGTAAACGGGACTTTTACCCACCAAAACAGAGTGAAACACATCAATTATCATTAAGTGTGATAAGGGAAAAAGCACAATGGGTTTCATATGACATACATGAAGGTGTGGAAGCTTTAATACCACTTAAGTGTTTCTGATAAGTGTGCACACATTTCATCAACAACAAACATGCACACACACACACACACACACACACACACACACACACACACACACACACACACACACACACACACACACACACACACACACATACACACACACACACACACACACACATTTACACCTTCTCACACACACCAACTCACACATATTTTAATGCAAATTGGTGAGTGAGGTTTTTGCTAAGCTTTATAAAAGACTGGTCATGTGTTACAATTTTTGTAATATTTAGGCAAATTTTCTTGTTGCAGTTTTGTCACAAAATTCTTATTTGTGTTATTTTTAATGTCATCACTGACTCCTCCCACAAACGATGTCCTTTCTTTGACTTTCTGACTCCTGGAAGCTAGCTTTTATTTTCTTTAATATGTGGAACGCTCAGGAATTTGGTTCAGCAACATGAAACAAACTCGATGCATCTGACCTTCCTCAGCAGCGTTAAAGTGTTAAAGTGGATTATTAAACAGCAGCCAAGACATGAACTGTTATTTAGATCAGTGGATATTCCCATTCAGTTTATAAAAGTCTCAGAGATACATGATTCCAGCTATTGCTAAAAGAAAGTTAACGATATCTTGTTGGCCGGTATGCTGTCTGTGCATTTGTCATAATTTAACAGTTAGGGCTAAAAATAATTATTAAAGTTCATTGACTGGTCTCCAATCTAGTGTTGGACAAACCACCAACAGAAAGACAAGAGACAGAACCTCGACACTGGGAACCGATGACTTAAATGAGTGTTTGCTCATGTAAGTAAAGAGCAGTCTGCTACAAGCACGAATGTAGAGGACATAAAGTCCACATAAACAACGCTCAAACTGGGGTTTTACTGGAAACGTAAACGGTTTCGTGGAGGCTTCAGGGCATTTGTGGGCTAACTTTTAGGAGCTTTTCTGGCAACCACATAAAATGCAGCAAAACAACATTTAAAACCATGACCTGCTCATACGAGTTTCTTTAAAATGCTGCTTCAAAAATGTAAATTTACTCATTTAGTCACCTTTGACTAAATCTTCTCTGTTTTTTTTGTCTTTGTCTAAAATTTTCAGGTAAAATAAACAAAGTCTACATCCATCCATCCATTTTCATCTGCTTATCCGGGGTCGGGTCACGGGGGCAGCAGCCTAAGCAGACAGGCCCAGACTTCCCTCTCCCCAGCCGCTTGGGCCAGCTCCTCCGGGGGAATCCCAAGGCTTTCCTCCAGCGTGCGCCCTGGGTCTTCCTTTGGGTCTTCTCCATGATCTCATTCTTTCAGTCACTACCCAAAGCTCGTGACCATAAGCGTGGGTAGGAGCATAGATTGATTGGTAAATCACCACGGCAGACCGGCACAACACCCGCATCACTGGAGACGCGGCACCAATCCACCTGTCGGTGTGGCGCTCCATCTTGCCCTCACTAGTGAACAAGACCCCGAGACACTTAAACTCCTCCAAATTCTACATTTGGCACGATTTTTATTTCATGTTTAATTGTGAAGAATGCTATCAACTTTTCCTGTTATCTCCTACTACACTAAGGAGCCAAATTTAAAACATGAACTTTATATCTATTATTTAAATAGTTAAACAGCTGAAGAGTGAAATTCAAACACTGTGCCAAAAAACTCAATCTGCGTCATCCCCAGAGCTCAGTGTTCGATGCTCTTCATCGTCTGCCGTGCTTCAGGATATTGTTACAGCTTTAGAGACGGGATGTGAATCAGCTCACGGGAGGAACCAAACCAGCACCGACACGCGTGACCTGCCTCCTCACAGAACCTTCTCTCAGGTGGTTTCAGGAGCAGGTGAGCTCTTACCTTTAGATGGCTCTGTACGCTTGGGTAGATCCAACGTGTCATAGTTTTTGTCACTTTCACCAGACTTTCTACCTGCATTAGGGAGCGAGGAGAGAAGACTGTCAGGATTACACACTATCACACTGAAAAAGGTGATATTTGGATTTTAAAATCCTAATATGGATTTTGTTTATTAAGAAAGAGTCAATGAATATTGTATTTTATTTATTTTTTTGGTTTTATTTATTTAGCAGACGCTTTTATCCAAAGCGACACAATTTATAACCTATAGGGCATGTTGTGATCTGTGGGGGGAACCGGAGTACCCGGAGGAAACCCACGCGTGCATGGGGAGAACACGCAACTCCACACAGAAAGGCCGCAGCCGAGTTTCGAACCTGCAACCTTCGTGCTGCGAGGCAACAGTGCTAACCACTGCGCCACCATGCAGCCCATATTGAAAGGATGGGTTTTGCACTCTCGGGTGTCTGCACACACACAACAGAAACATGCACAACGACACAAACTTAACACACAATAGTGATAATAAAAGACTCGGTTTGACTTTGCATGAACACACCTGGTTTGTGTTGCAAACCCTGATGTAAACATCACACATTCACTCATATAATACATAGGTCGTAAATGTCCACTTTCCCCACATTCAGCGACGTTGTTGAAGCAGCAAAGCATCATAAATAATGCACCAGCAGAAGGAAGTGTGGATGATTGGTGACTGGCACTTAATGGTCCGCTCACATGCATATGGACATGCCCTTGGGACAGTACAGTGAAACGGAGACGGATTTCTCGGCTAGGTGGAAGTAACAGCTCCACTCACAGGGGTCAATGAAACACACAGTGATAAAAAGCATGCCCTCCTAAACACTTCCTCTTAAAAAAACATTAGTTCAAGGTTTGGATTCTACATGATCCGCTTCTGTTTGTGTACTGGAGACAGTAACTATAGCCAAAGTATATAAATAATGACTTATCTTTTGATTTTAGGCTAAAGCACACTAAATAAATATAAATATCGCCCTATAGCTCATTTCTGCTTGCAAACACCTTAAACTAGTGCCAACACATGTTAGAAATAATGGGAAAAGTCTACAGTAACTCTACACAGAAGGAGCAAATGTGTTGTTCAAGAATTTGACGTAAACACACATTTCTAACAAGTCAAAAAACATATTTCCTGAGTACAGTGCTCACAATTTAGGATCTGTTGCACTGAATCAGAGTAAAAATAGAGCAAAGAACAACAATAATGATCTCTGACTCAGTTACAATAATCTGCATGATCGCACGCACACACACACACACACACACACACACACACACACACATTTTGTGGTTCACTTTCTCAGCTCTAAGGAGATTTAAGTTGAATTATGTTAGTAGTTTAATCAAATCTAAAACATTTAGTTAAACACTTTTTCCACTTCAAACTCCATTTACCTTGAACTGAAGAGAAGTGAATGTGGAAAAAACTAACTCTAGTGACCTGAGAAGTTTTAAAAAGTCTAAAATAAAGTCGAACTGATTCTAAAACCCGACCATGCTGTGGGTGTTAGGTATGACCGGAGGAACCTATGTGGAATGAATTGAAACTACAATTTTCTGAAGTCCTTCAAACTTTCTCTGGTTTCTGGAGGACACCCAAAACTACTTCTAACTGAACTCTACACAGCCATGGGGGAGTAGGAGTGGAGGGGGGAGGAGAGGGAAAGATGGAGGGGAGGAGGAGGGTGGAACAGGAGGGTGGGGGCACTCACCTTGATTAAACCATTCCTCTATAGTTAGCCAAGGAAGCAGCAGCAATGCCAAAAAACACAGAGCAGGGAGAAAAGAGAAGATGCATGGTGAAAAATGTGTATGTGTGTGTGTGTGTGTGTGTATGTGAGAGAGAGAGGGGGAGAGAGAGAGAGAGAGAGAGAGAGAGAGAGAGAGAGAGAGAGAGAGAGAGAGAGAGAGAGAGAGAGAGAGAGAGAGAGAGAGAGAGAGAGAAGAAGCTGTGGTGCAATTCTTGTAAAAAGGGTGAAAAACTGCAGGCTACCACAGAGGAAACAGAGCTGGCATGAATAAGATGGCAAAGAAAGTGTGTGTGTGTGTGCGTGTATGTGTGTGTGTGTGTGTGTTGAACAGGGAAATTTAAGACATAAATATGACAGAAAATTGTTCCGATTTTCAGATTAAAACAACAGACGAACATTTCAGGAGTGAAGGGAATCAGATTGGATTACTACTCAGGTGAGAAGTAAAGTACAGGAGCTGGTCCAGAATGGTCGTGTGGGAGGACAGAACGAATGTCTGAGCAGCAGAAACAAAGGGTGAGCGGCTGTGTTTTTCTCTTAATGCAACACGGAGTTAAGAAAGAGTCTGTTGAAACTTCCTGGTGATCATGTAGGCCAAAACTCATGTTTAACCGATTTCTGACCTCTGACCCCTGAAGTAATCAGACTACATGAGCCATCAGAGTGGCTGTCTCATTGGCTGGCAGATTAATGACAGCCATTGT